GCTAAGTTATTTGTCATCTTTCCGGTTATTTTCAAATGGCACTGTCCCGGGTTGTATCCATGTGCAAACCACTGCGGGTTCGCAATTGGTGTGTTCGGGCGGGACCTCTCCAGGAGACGCTTTGGGCAGTTTCTCATCTCTTTTCCTCACACTGTATTACCATCTATGCCGTGAGGGGCCTGTGCATACTCTCCACCGTATCATGAGAACTGACAATTTTTAGCCTTTTGGCAGTCTACGTGTACTTTTTGCCGCTACATGGGGCCTCTTTGAGCACCTCTGAGGAAGAGACGACGCTTAGTCTCGAAACGTGTCAGTGGCAACATTTGCATGACCAAGCTTTCATCATTAAATACCAAGTTACACACTCTATGATATTTGCCGCCATAATTTATGTATTTTAACTGGTTATGTCTTTTTTTTAAGATTGTATAAAATTGAGTGTCATGTTTTAACTGCTGATTTAGTAGTCTATTTACACATCTGTGCCTTCAAAGTCTCACCCATTAGAGGACCTTTCGACCAACTTTGTATTTACATTGAGACTCCACCAAAATGTGATATTCATGTTGAGACTCCATCAGAATGTGACCTTCACATTGAGACTCCATCAGAATGTGACCTTCACATTGAGACTCCACCAGAAGGTGACATTCACATTGAGACTCCACCAGAATGTAATGTTCATGTCAAGACTCCATCAGAATGTGACATTCACATTGAGACTCCACTACTATGTGACGTTCACATTGAGCCACCACCAGAATGTGACGTTTACATTGAGACTCCACCAAAATGTGACGTTCACGTTGAGACATCACCAGAATGTGACATTCACATTGAGACTCCATCAGAATGGGACATTCACGTTGAGACTCCATCAGAATGGGACATTCATGTTGAGACTCCATCAGAATGGGACATTCACGTTGAGACTCCACCAAAATGGGACATTCACGCTGAGACTCCATCAGAATGGGACTTTTATGTTGAGACTCCACCAGAATGTGACATTTACTTTGAGACTCCACCAGAATATGACGTTCAAATTGAGACCCCACCAGAATGTGACATTCACATTGAGACTCCACCAGAAGGTGACATTCACATTAAGACTCCACCAGAAGGTGACATTCACATTGAGACTCCACCAGAAGGTGACATTCACATTAAGACTTCACCAGAAGGTGACATTCACATTGAGACTCCACCAGAAGGTGACATTCACATTAAGACTCCACCAGAAGGTGACATTCACATTGAGACTCCACCAGAAGGTGACATTCACATTAAGACTCCACCAGAAGGTGACATTCACATTGAGACTCCACCAGAAGGTGACATTCACATTAAGACTCCATCAGAATGTTATGTTCACATTGAGACTGCACTACAATGTGACATTCACATTGAGCTCCCACCAGAATGTACGTTTACATTGAGACTCCACCAAAATGTGATGGTCATGTTGAGACTTCATCAGAATGAGACATTCACAAGGAGACTCCACCAGAATGTGACGTTCACATTAAGTCTTCACCAGAATGTGATGTTCACGTTGAGACTCTACCAGAATATGACGTTCAAATTGAGACTCCGCCAGAATCTGATGATCACATTGAGACTCCACCAGAATGCAACGTTCACATTGAGTATCCACCGGAAAGTAATGTTCACATTAAGACTTTGCCAGAATGTGACATTCGCATTGATAATCCACCGGAATGTGATTTTCACATTGAAAAGCCACCAGAATGTAATGTTCACATTGAGAATCCATCAGAATGTGAAGTTCACATTAAACCTCCACCAAATTGTCAGAGGAACCATGGGAACATCTCCTCCAGTGAAGATGGGGGCAAGGTTACAGGAAAGGAAAGGCAGATACCGGTGGTAAAGGATGCAGTTATTAGATGGACAGTCTGTCACAAGGACCATGATCGACAAACAGTATGTTGTTTCCTGGTTGCTCGGGTTCAGGACATTGCAGATCGGATGGACAGCTTGTTGGATGGGGCTGGGGAGGACCCAGCTGTCCTGCATATTGGTACCAATTAAAAAGTTAAAGGAAGATGGAGAACCCTACAAAATTAATTCAGGAACTTAGGAGCTACTGTATATTGAAGAAAATGACCTCCAAGGTGGTATTTTTAGAAATACTGCCTGTACCTCGAGCCACGCCAATGAGGCAGCAAGATCTTTATCTCATTTCTTTTCCTTCCTTCCTTCCCTCCTTCCTTCCTCTTCCTTCTTTTCTCTCTCCGTTCATCTAATTTCTTTCCTTCCTTCCTTCCTTCCTTCCTTCCTTCCTTCCTTCCTTCCTTCCTTCCTTCCTTCCTTCCTTTCTTCTTCCTCTCTCTTCCTTCCTGTAGCTCTCCTATTATCTCCCTTCCTTCCTTTACCTACCTACCTACCTTCCTTCTTTCCTTCCTTTCTGCCTTCCTTCATCACTCTTCATCTCACTTCTTCCTTCCCTCACTCTTCCTTTCCTTCATCTCTCCCTTCATTTGATTTCTTGCTTTCCTTTCTCTTTGCTTTTCCTTTCTTCATTTCACATCCCTCCTCTTTCCTTTCTTTCTTCCATCTCACCCTTCATAACCTTTCTTTTCCTTCCTTCCTTCCTTCCTTCCTTCCTTCCTTCCTTCCTTCCTTCCTTCCTTCCTTCCATCCATCTAATTTCTTGCCTTTCCTTTCTCTTCCTTTCCCTTCCCTTACCTTACCTCCCTTTCCTTATCTCTCTATTCTTCTAATTTCTTTCTATTCCTTTACTGCCCTTTCCTCTCCCTTCATCTAATTTTCCTTCCTTCCTTCTTTTCACGGTCTGGGTCAGGTTCAGAGACCAGTTGCTATAGCAGTGTTAAGGCTTACCTGAAACCAGCAGGATCGGTACACCAGCAGGTCACCCTGGGAAATGATACAGGCTCACCTGAGGTGCGGGGTCTAAGCACTAACCGTTTTTCACCAGAGCTCCTGATGGTGGAGATGGATTTGGATGCGTGTTAATACCAGGTCGCAGATCTCAGGATCACCCCACCAGGGAATGAGCAAGCTGGAATCCAATAGCAGATCGAACAGCGCAGAAGCGGAGTCAGTCAACAAGCCAAAGGTCGGTCACAAACGGTAGTAGATGAGGACGAGGCAGAATCGTAATCCAGGAACAAGCCAAAGGTTGGCAGCGAAGGTATAGACGGCAGCAAGAGACACAAGCGGGATATTGGGTGGAGAAGGTACAATAATCTGGCAAAGAGGAAATGCAGAGACATGGCTTTTATCAGGAAGTTCATGGGAGGAGCAAGGGGTTCAAGGTTCAAGATAAACAGGGCCAAGGCAGGATCAATCAAACAATTGTGAAGGGAGCTGTCCTGCATTCCAGGTGGCTCAGCAAGAAGAAACATTGCCTCGCACCGCAGAAGGCCCAGTTTCGGACCCAGGCTCTGACACCTTCCTTCCTGTAGCTCTCCCATCATCGCCCTTCCCTCCTTTACCTACCTACTTTCTCCCTTTCTTCATCTCACTTCTTTCTTTCTTTCTCTCCCTCCCTCCCTCCCTTCTTTCTTTCTTTCTTTCTTTCTTTCTTTTCTTTCCTTCTTTCCTTTCTTCCTTCTTTCTTCCTTCCTTCCTTCCTTCCTTCCTTCCTTCCTTCCTTCCTCTCTCCTCTCTCTCCTTTCATCTCATTTCTTTCCTTTCCCTTCTTTTCCTTTCCTTTCCCTTCCCTTCCTTTCCTTCCCCTTCCTTTCCTTTCCTTGGCCTCCAAGGGAAGGGCCTCCAGGCTCAGGGCTGTTCAGTCTAAAATGCCCAGCTTGCATGGACCAGCTAAGACAGGAGGTAGAAGGACGATAGACTTTTTTGCTGGCTGTGTTGAACTGGCTATGAGGAGGAGTTGGAGGACAGTACTTTTTTTTAGGTGTTTTTAAACGACTATAAGGAGAGGTTGAAGGGTGGTACTTTTTTCAGGTGTGTGTTGCACCGACTATGGGGGTGGGGTGTTGGAGGTCGGTAGTCTATTTTTCAGCACTGTGTTGAGCCGGGTATCAGAGGTACTGTAGTTGGAGGCTGGTATTTTTTTGAGGCACTTGTTGGACTGGCTATGAGG